TAGGTTTCTCAATTCTTTCGGTACCCTGCACATTCCCTGAGGAGCTGGTTACTGGCGAGCCAGCAGAAACACGTGTCGGGTGTTTCGCCAGCAGTTACTTTGACCATGGTGGCATCGATACGGCCTCACCTACTTTCGATCATCAGCGTGTTGGCTCTACATGTTCGTCTAATCTTCTTCCCCATTCTTCTGTGTGATGCATGTGTTCCAACGTTCGGCTTTGCCGTTCGTTCGTGCTTTTATCGCTTTTATCGCTTTTACTACTATCTGTGCAAATGGGACGTTTTGCCCCCACCAGTCTGTGTTCTTCACTGACCTTCGTTATCTTCGTTGTACCTCTTTTTGCATTGAGTTTTTTTTTTTGTCCCTTGGACTTTCCTTGTGTCCTGTCACTCTCTGTCGCAACACAAGTGTTTTGTGAACGAACCATGTCAATCACATATTAGGGCCTGGCTGCGCAGCTGACTGTGGTTTTTTTTTTTTACAAAGCTCCAATCTATTCGTGGGGAGCAGCACGTGCTGGGAACTGGGCCCAGCATCCCATACGAAAAATATACAGATAGTTTGGAAGTATGGCTAAAGAACAAGAGCATAGGCAAAATTCAGAAAACGACTTAGAAACCCCCCATCAATCCTCTTTACCTCACTCCGGCAAGACTTACTGCAGCAGAGCCACCATCTCCGCTGCTGCTGTACCATATTTCCATCCTACGAGCTAGCCCCCTCACTAGCAGGACGCTTGATATCCCACCATCTACTTCTCCCACTAACCTCAATTTTTTACCGGCATCGTTTTCTTGGAACACCCAAGCACCCAAGAATTGCTCCTTCCCCTGGGACACTCCAGCTCCCTCTGGGACTTACAATTTCCTTACCACGTCATGCACATGCCCCCGCAGAACGAGGTTCCCCCTCCCTCCCTCCCCACCCTAATTACCTCTTCCCCTGGTTCACTCCAGATCCCTCAGGGACTTACAATTTCCTTACCACATCATGCACATGTCCCCGCAGAACTACAGCTCCCCCTTCTCTACCCTAATTACCCTTCCCTCCATGTCACTCCAGCTCCCTTTGGGACTTGCAATTTCCTTACCACAGCAAGAACATGCCTCCGCAGAACTAGAGATCCCCAAATCAATCCTCTCAAACCCCTTGACCCCCTCCCCCAACTGCCATGACTGGTCCGACCCCAAAATCAGCCCATTGCACAACACAATAAACACAGACAGACACACACACAGAGGAAGAGAGAGGAAGAGAGAGAGAGAGAGAGAGAGAGAGAGAGANTAAACACAGACAGACACACACACAGAGGAAGAGAGAGGAAGAGAGAGAGAGAGAGAGAGAGAGAGAGAGAGAGAGAGAGAGAGAGAGAGAGAGAGAGAGAGAGAGAGAGAGAGAGGTGCAGCTAACAGACAGTTGGCGGGGGAAGAGGGAGACAAAGGGAGAAACATCACTGATAGCATCCACACTCAACTCAGAAGTTCTGGAAAGAGAACACATCAATGGATAATCATGATACAGAGTAATCTCCAATGGCGACGTCCTCAGTCTGGCTACACAATGGACAAGCCATGGGGCATAGCTGCACTACTCTCCAAATGCTGAGTGTCTGGATCTGGATTCAGAGCAGGGTCTGCGTTAAATAATTCAAAGCACGTTGAATCTGCCGTTGAAAAGCCATTTGGACACATATCAACGCCACCCGTGGATATTTTTTCACCTAAGCAACAAAAAAAAAAACAAAAAACAAAAGATCTTCAACTCTATGTTATTTATTTATTCTTTCCATCTTTAAGGAAATTAGTCGAAAT